TGGCAATTTCACGTTGCATTCTACTGAATAAAATTTCTGTTCTGAAAACATGACTGTATCTTCAATATAGTAGCTACAGTAACTTCATCAAGGGTTAGTATTTAAAAGAACCTATGAATTGCAATCCCTGCAATACTCAGAATGAGGCCAAGTAAGAATTCTGAAAATTTCTAATAAAAAAGGCAATGAAGTGTGGTGGAGCTCCATATTTTATTGTCAGAGAAGAATCTTGAATACAGAGCGGGCTCACCTAATAATAACCCTTACATAACCATTACACATTTCAACTGAGGTCCGTATGAAATCTTCTACGGCTGCAATGTGTGCAGAACTCATAGGTCCCCTGGAAATATCTGGTCCCACAAGAAACTCATGTCTTAATAGACTTCATATGTGGCCAACTGACCAAATATTTCTATCCACAAAAAGTAGAGATTTTTGTGTTCAACTATTTCTTGCAGTGAAACAAGACCAGAAAATAGTCTGGGGTCATCTCCATGATCTCCACCCACCTTGACCAGTTATGTTAGTTAAGAGTAAACTGCAGCTCTGATTAACTTTTACTACAGCTAGATCCATACAATTAAGTTTTTAGCTCCATATGCATTTTCTGCATTGGTAAAAAATAAAATTTTCCTGTATTACTTAATCAAGATATTCTTAAGACTTTTTTTTTTACCAGAAGTGAAATACATAAGATAGTCACACATTTATGTTAATTACTATGTATTTGTCATTTATGAATTGCCAGCATGCGTTCACTCTATTCAAGATGTTGAGGAAGCACGGTCTAGGTCCTGGGAAACATGATCCGTAGTTGGCTTGATTCAGTTTTGCCTTACGCTAACACCTACTGGCTGTGGTACCTCCAGCAGAGGATGATGTAAAAGGAAGCTGCAGCGATCCAAATCCAACTGCACTGGGCTAACGGCAGTAGAGTGGCTTTGCGGGTGGAAAGCAGAGGCACAGCGAGGAGTGCACGGACAGCGTCCCTAAGAGTTCTGGCTCACTTTAATCGCTGTGGTGCCTATGGCGAGTGGGAAGCAAGCTCGAGAGAAAAGCTGTGCTCCTGTAGAGCTGAGCAAAAGACAGTACTGCAGTTTGGGTCAGAGCAATGCAGAAAACAGTGGCATGTAATTCCCAAACTGCTGTTTCATTGACTAAGTGTTGGAAAAAAAATGCTGAGATTACAGCACATACAAACCTAGTGTTATGGGCAGGACAGTTTGTGATTTTAAAGCTAGCTTTAAATGTACACATTCATTTGCTGCAATTACATCTCTAGCTGCAATGTAGACAATGGTTCTGTTTCAACATCTAAATTTTCTCAGCATCTAAGTGAGTTAAAATATATGGCCTCACTAGCCAGGAAAGTCTAAGAGGGCCTGTTTTAAGAGACTGCTGAACATATTTGGGCAGCCTAATTAAAAACCTCAAGTAAACACAAATTAGGAACGCTAAGCGTCTCTTAACCAAATGGCATTTTCCTAAGGATGTATAGGACCACATATTTATTTAGAAAATAAACCATTAGACTACATATATTGCTAACATATCGTGTTTTATGAACGTTACCACGGGAAAACTCTTCTTGAAGGCAAAGAAGAATCTCTGGGTGTTGTTCTGAAGGTGATCAACACATTTTAAATGAAGTTTATTATTGATTGTCCAGGGCTCTGCATATGGAAGGACCAAAAGTGCCACATACGATCCCCAGGGGAAAAACTGCGGAGACTAGTCTGCTGTTAGAATGGTTACACAGAATCAGGTTAAACACCAGTCCAACTGATAAGGAAAGATTTCACACAGAATTTATTTGTAGTTTTAAATACTCTGTAGGGGGCAGTTTTGAACTAGATTAATGTAATTTTTACTCTGACTGATTTGAAGTTATGATTCTCTGCTCAGTTTTATTAGCCTTACTAGCTACATGGGCATCATTTCTTCTTTTGTGGATATGTCCTCTGGAAGGTAGATCTCAGCTGATTATACTCTGATGCAAATAGGTAGCTACACGCTATCATATAGCATCACACAGTTAACATATTGTCAACTACCAGACATGCATTTAAAAGTATTAGCTAATTTTGTGCCTAAGACACTCATCTGCATGAAAAGTTCAAAAATGGTAGTTAACAGTACCTTTTTAAAACTACCAGTTAGACAGATTTGTAATTGTATAGCTGCGATTAGAACTGCATTGAGGAGGCATGCATAAAAATCTATTCCATAATACAACCCAAGGTCACACGTATGGTCTAAAATCACCTGTCAGAATCCTCATTCAGCCCTGAATCAAATTTTGTGGTGACTTGAAAAAGTTTGTGACAATTCCAGGAAAAGAAACAGAAGCTTCTTGGAGAAGCTAGTATTGGCTGTAGCATTCCAAAAAGACTTTAAATATGGTACTGTCATTATCTACATTTTTAAAAAGTGGATACCATGCTAGACCATGGGAAAATATGTTAGCATTTTGGCTAAAAGATGAAGATTTAAACCAGCTTCCCTCCAGCAACACTGCTAGAAGTATCATAACCAGGGTTGTGCTATAGGTGTTTAATCTGAAAGCAAAAAGAGGTCCTCTTAGCAGAGGGATAGTCATTGCTACAAGGATCTTAGTCAACAGATGTGGATCTAGGAAGAAAGTTGAAGAGAAGACAAGGCTTAGTCACCAGGTCTTTTTCCATTTGGCAAGGAAGCAATATTCTAGGTCTCAACGTGGAAAACAAAGCTGTAGATATAGCTTATGGTTTCTACCTCTGCAATTGGTATCAGGCTGTCTAGTTTAGTCAATGGCTCTGCATTGACTGCCCTTATTTGCTTTGAATTAGCTTACTTGGAGCCCAACCTAGACTGTGATTTTCAGCTATAACCAGTTGGTATTTAGCTGATACTATAAATAGTAGATATGTTGTAAGATTTACTCTGAACGCTAGCGGCAGCTAAAAGGATGAATATCCCAATGTCAAAACTACAAATGACTGTCTAGCAGATGACCAGACTCTGCAGCTCTTCTGTTTGAAGTCTGAAGCTTACTGTTTTGACTAAAAAGTGGATGGGGTATCTTGTTTTTTCCTCCCTGGCCTAAAACGGTTGCCTATTCTGCTTGGGACCAAATTCTTTTTCTAGAATTGGAAAAAAAACTTCATATACTCCTGCTTGCATAGCCATATTCACAAAACTTTGAAGCAGGAGACCTAGGAAGGTGTGAGAAACAGAGTGCAAAAGGAGCGGGTATTCTCTGTTTCCCAGTCCTCTCCGCATTGGACAAGTGATCACGGGAGTCAATCGAGTCAGGGTACTACATAACGCAACGGAACAGGTAGCAAACAGAGCTTCGGACAACGTGGTTCTTTGGTGAGAGGCAGAAAGGGGAAAGAACAGTCAGCACCCTATAACTGCCAGAGTACCAGAAGGGAGGGCGTTATTATTACAGCAATGTAAATTAAAGAAATACGAGTGTTGCTGAACGAACTGGGTGTTGTCGAATGAATTATCCATAAAGCAGAAGTCCAAGCAATCACCTAACGGACCCAGATGGACCCAGGGTGAAAGCAGTCCTGTACTGTAACTATGAGGTGAATTTAGCACCTGCCTCATGCAAAATGATAGGATAGTCCAGGATAGTTTTTTTCAGGATTTGTTTTATAGTCAAAGATAGAAAGTACAAACATCAGGAAGCTGTTGCAAACCTTTACACAACAGTTGGACCCTCGTGTTCCTAGATTTTAGCAACAAAGCACCTGACTTGTCTGCAGGTGAGCACCCGAAGCAGCTCTCTGTACTCTTGTTTTGACAAAAACCTAATTTATCCCAGCGAGAGGGGAACGCCTTCCTCGCAGAGCGCCGGCACGGCTGGGCCTCACGCGCCGTGTTTAGAGGAGCCGATTTCTGACACCGAAAGGGGAAAACAGACCCCAGAACCGAGACCCCCCTCCCTCCACCGCGGCACCTGCAGACTTAACCGCTGCCCGCCAAACGCCACTCCAAACA